TTGATGTGTTTGCGTTCTTACAATAAATTCGTCTTGAGTCCGAATAAATTAATTTGAGTTGATTGAACTATGCACTTATGTGAGAATTGTGAGGCCTGAGTAAAGTTCCACGTACTTGTTTTCTTATCCATCTATGTGCATATAGTTATAAGTTGCCTGGGGACAAGCAACGGTTTAAGTTTGGGGAGATTTGATTGGTCGAAAAAAGTGTGTGTTTTATATATTTATAGCGTATTTTTATATGTTTGATTTTATCGCACTTATATATTTTTTGACTTATTTATTTTCATGGATGGATACTTGTACTTTGATTTTTTTTATGTTTTATTTTTACGATATTGAAAAATTTTAATTGGCGGCGTAGAATCGAGCGAGAATTGAATAGTCTAGTAGTGCCCATACTCGGCCCACATTTGCCTAATTTCAGCCTAAGGTTGAATATATTTAAAACAAAAAGCGCCCAATAGCCTTACATGAGAATGTAACGAGTGCTTAGTGAAAATTAGGTCAACACTTTGGGCCTAAAGATCACTATAAAGAGAATTCACGTGGCCTGGAGACTGAAGAAATTATTTGGAGTAGCCTGTTTAAAGAGCCGCCTACATCGCGGGAGTCATACGGCATTCACGCAGAAGGGAGGAATTATTTACGCAACAGAAAACATAAAGAAAAGTTTTGGGAGCCGCCACACATAAGAGAAAGAGAGATACGCGAGCAGCAACAGGAGGAAAAGCGGAGAGATACGCGAGGAACCCGACCAAAAGCGGAGGGAAGCCGCACCCGTACACGAGGGATCTCTCTCTTTTATATATCTTTTTCTTTTTATTTATTATGTTAGACTAGTTTTTCTTTCTAGTTCCGGGGAAGTTGAACCCCTACAACTTGATGATGTTTGATTAATATATGGTTGATTATTGAGTTATTTTTTTGGAATTGTTTGTGTTATTTTGAATAATTAACCATGATGTGTTGAGTCTTATTTAGATTGATCACCTAGATTAGGCTTTACATATCTACACCTGAATTAGGCCTTCAATCCGTAATTGTTGATGTGTTTAATTCGCAAGTGGTATCCGGAAGATGGTAACTACCGGGAATAACACGGCCTATTTAAGTGAACGAACGCGGTTGAGTTCACTACTTAGTCTAGCCTATTTTTCTAATTCGTAAAGCGACTGATTGTATTAAATCTAAGAAGCGTTTTCTAGACTGTACAAGAAGTCAGGTCTAATCGTAGAGCGTCTCGCGGTTAGATTAAAAATAAGGAAAAATTCGGGTAACAGACCGTGTCGTTGCCTAGGGCTAGTAATATCATAAGATAACGAGATTTGATACCAAAGTTGATTATACGAGTCAGTCGAGGGTGTACACAGAACCGTGAACTAGAAATTTCTCTTATTTATTTTATTTTTATTTTTATTTCGTTTGTTTAGGTTTTATTTATTTCATTAGAATTTTAATTAGTTTAGTTATTAAATCC